GCCACTGCTCGTCATCCCAGACTTCCATGACGATGTGATCCCACCACTCGGTGCTTGTTTCCTGAGCCCAAAAGTGGCGTTCCACGGTGCTGAGCATGTCCGTGAATGCCACAAGCAATTTCATGTCGTACGCGTTACGCGGTTCGATAGCATCGTCGGACTCCTCACCCTCACTGTCACTTTGGATCTTAAGGGATAGTTCAACAGCCAAACGTGATGTGCTGGCGAGACTCGTCAGCATACGCCTCAGAATTCGGGCTCCATTTCCCGCAGACAGATTGCGCTGCACAGAAACCGTTGAAAGATGGCGCCAAAGGTGGACGGAAACAAAGGGATATCTGGGATGCGAAGCGATGCATCACGGAGCATTGGGACAGGACCCAGAATCCCCCGCACCCATACCCCCTTCCCACAACCCACAGCGCCAGAATGGGAAAAGGTGCTCTGTGGGATAGCTGCCCATAATGCACCGCTCCTAATAGCGCTGCAATTGCAGCAAATGTGGCCACGACAGTGCGCTGGGCAGCTGTCAGTGTGGACAGACTGCAGCGCTTTCCCTACTCAGCTGCATGAAGTCAGGTTTAACTCACAGCGCTGTACATCTGCAGAATGTAGCCAAGGCCTGATATATATGCCAAAATTGCACAAGGCATGGTGAACAGAGGCTACACCAGGAACACACAGCAGTGCCGCGTGAAAATTAAGGAGGTCAGGCAAGCCTACCAAAAGACAAAGGAGTGAAACGGTTGCTCCGGGTCAGAGCCCCAGACATGCCGCTTCTGTGATCAGCTGCATGTGATTCTAGGGGGGGACCCTACCTGTACCCCAATACTCTCCGTGGGCACCTGCAAGGTGGCAGCCTCACACAACATGGATGAGGATTTTGTGGATGAGGAAGTGGAGGAGGAGGAGGAAAAGAATGCGCAGCAGGCAAGCAGAGAATCCATTCTCCCTTGCAGCCAGGACCTTTTCCTCACCCTGGACACAATACCCGCCCAAGGCGTATTGTTCCCGGACCCCGAAGGCAGAGAAGGCACCTCTGGTGAGTGCACATTTGTAACAACACTACAGGGGTTAAAACCAATTGTGTTTAATGTTTGATTTGCCCTGAGGGGATTGGCTTACAGGGAAGTACATTCACCAAAGGGGGTGGCTTTGTGTCAAGGACAAACACACACAACTGTTACACTGTAGCCTGGTCAGTCATGAAACTGTTTTTCAAAGCCTCTCTGATGTGCAGTGTGCCTCGGTGTGCTCTTCTAATTGCCCTGGTGTCTGGCTGTTCAAAATTGGCCACCAGGCGATTTGCCTCAACCTCCCACCTCACCATAAACATCCCCCCCTTACTCTCACAGATATTATGGAGCACACAGCAAGCAGCAATAACAATGGGAATATTGCTTTTGTTGAGGTCTAACCTACTCAGCAAACAGCACCAGTGCCCTTTTAAACATCCAAAGGCACATTCTACCACCATTCTGCACTTGCTCAGCCTATAGATGAACTGCTCCTTATTGCTGTCCAGGCTGCCTGTGTACAGCTTCATGAGCCATGGGAGCAAGGGGTAGGCTGGTGTTTCCAAGGATAACTATTGGCATTTCAACATCCCCAATGGTAATTTTCTGGTCTGGGAAGTAAGTCCCTTCTTGCAGCTTTCCGAACAGCCCAGAGTTCCTAAAAATGCGAGCGTCATGCACCTTTCCCGGCCATCCCACATTGATGTCGGTGAAACGGCCCTTGTGATCCACCAGTGCTTGCAACACCATTGAGAAGTACCCCTTGCAGTTTATGTACTCTTTGGCAAGGTGGTCCGGTGCCAAGATAGGGATATGCATTCCGTCTATCACCCCACCACAGTTAGGGAACCCCATTGCAGCAAAGCCATCTACTATGACCTTCACTTAGCAGAAGGGTATTGATTGCCCTGGCTACTTGGATCACAGCAGCCCCCACAGTAGATTAGCCCACTCCGAATTGATTCCCAACTGACCAGTAGCAGTCAGGCGTTGCAAGCTTCCACAGGGCTATCGCCACTTGCTTCTCAACTGTCAAGGCAGGTCTCATCTTGGTATTCCTGTGCTTTAGGGTGGGGAAAAGCAATTCAGACAGTTCCATGAAAGTGGTCTTATGCATGCGAATGTTTTGCAGCCACTGGGAATCATCCCATACCTGCAACACTATGCGGTCCCACCAGTCTGTGCTTGTTTGCCGGGCCCAGAATCGGCATTCCACTGTATCAACGTGGATACTGGCCCCAATGCCGCCATGATATCCCAATTGCCACATCCCGTGCTTTCAGGAACATCTGTGTCCATGTCCTCCTCACAATCTTCCTCGTGCTGGCAGCTCCTAGCGAAGCTCTGCACATACTGCAGGATAATGCACAAGGTATTTACAATGTTCACAAAAGCAGCGTGCAGCTGAGCGGGCTCCATGCTTGCCATGCTGTCAAGGCTGCTTCCCCACTTTGAACTTTAGGGTACAAATGTGGCGGCCTGCATGAAAACTTCTAAGCTTAACTACCAGCTTAGATCAGGTCGCTGCCACCACTCCCAAAGCTAATTCCCTTCCCTGGGTGGCCTTGAGAGACTCTTCACCAATGCCCTGGTGAATACAGATCCAAACCCCTTGGATCTTAAAACAAGGAGAAATTAACCATCCCCCCTCCTTCCTCCCACCAACTCCTGGTGGATCAAGATCCAACCCCCTTGGATCTAAAAACAAGGAAAAATCAATCAGGTTCTTAAAAAGAAGGCTTTTAATTAAAGAAAAGGGTAAAAATCATCTCTGTAAAATCAGGATGGAAAATAACTTTACAGGGTAATCAAACTTAAAGAGCTCAGAGGACCCCCCTCTAGCCTTAGGTTCAAAGTTACAGCAAACAGAGATGAACACTCTAGCAAAAGGTACATTTACAAGTTGAGAAAACAAAGATAAACTAACACACCTTGCCTGGCTGTTTACTTACAAGTTTGAAATATGAGAAACTTGTTCAGAAAGATTTGGAGAACCTGGATTGATGTCTGGTCCCTCTCAGTCCCAAGAGCGAACAACCTCCCAAACAAAGAGCACAAACAAAAGCCTCCCCCCCCCCCCAAGATTTGAAAGTATCTTGTCCCCTTATTGGTCCTTTGGGTCAGGTGTCAGCCAGGTTACCTGAGCTTCTTAACCCTTTACAGGTAAAAGGATTTTGGAGTCTCTGGCCAGGAGGGATTTTATAGTACTGTACACAGAAGAGCTGTTACCCTTCCCTTTATAGTTATGACACATGCTATGGCGTCTGCATGGATAACAAAGGAAAAAAGGCATGAAATGATTGTTTGCCGTTGCTTTCAAGGAGGGAGGGAGGGAGAGAGAGAGGGGAAACTGACAACATGTACCCAAAACCACCTGTGACAATATTTTTGCCCCATCAGGCATTGGGAGCTCCCAGAATTCCAATGGGCAGCGGGACTGTGGGATAGCTACCCAAAGTGCACCACTCTGTGAGTCAATGCTAGCCACGGTATTGAAGATGCACTCCGCTGACCTAACGCGCTTAGTGGGGACATGCACGATTGACTGTATAAAATCGCTTACTAAAGATCGACTTGTATAAAATCGACCTAATTTCGTAGTGTAGACATGCCCTTAGAAACCAAAGCTTTCTGTCCATCTTCTCCATAGACTGCCCCCTCCCTCAGGGAAGGTATCATATTCTGCTGAATTAATCACTGAGTACTTAAGTAGCCTCTTCCCTTGACACGAATGTGCATTGATTCAAATGTCACCCATGAAATATTTACACAAACAGCCTTGAGTCTGAGCACGCTGTGGCTCACCTAACATGGCCTGTGGGATGGCTCCGTCCATCCCAGTGAGCAGTCACGAACAGATGTACACCACAAGCGGCTGCGCTAGAAGGAGGCATTGGTTGAGCTGCCATCTGTTGAACCACTATTAACTACTTTCTTAGTAGGGTTTCCCAACCAGTTGTATACCTGCCATATAGTAGGTTCCTCTAGGCTGTACTTCCCTAATTTGCTTAAGAGACGGTCATGTGAGACAATATCAAAAGCCTTACTAAAGTCGAGCTATAGCTCATCTACTGCTTCTCCCCATCCACAAGTATTGTTACCCTGTCAAAGAAGGATATTATGTTGGTTTGACATGATTTGTTTTTGACAAACCCATGTCGACTGTTCCTTATCACCTTAATATCTTCTAGGTGCCTACAAATTAAGGATCCTGGTAGCACAGAATGAGACAGTCCTGGGCTAGCTCATTCCGGACTTTGGAGATGAAGATTAGGACCTAGAAATTGATTGATGGGGAGCCATTGTATTGCCTGGAACTCTGGTCTAAGGGTCTTGCAGAACCCTATACAGACAGCTTAGCAAGAGAGACAATGTGTGTGTGACCCACTGGAGTTTCTTCAAAGGCCTCCCCTCTCCCAATTTCACTTCCAGGTATGGTGCATTGCAATAGTCCAAGCCTGGAGGACAAGCAAGCCTGGATCAGCATGGCCCAGTCTGCAACTGTCAGGAATAGGCACAGACTTGGTCCCGCAACAGATACAAGCTGTTTTTAACAGCTACTTCTATGTGGCTAGCCAGTGGTGGCGAAGAACCTCAGGACAGCTAGAGAGAGATGGTCAGGAGACAATGAGAAAAGATGTATTCAAAGCCATTTTCCAGCATTGAGTAAAGGCAGGAGAGAGGCTTTGGCCACTTTCCAAATCCCACCTTTAGTGCCTAAGGGATTTGGGCACCCAGCTCCCATTGAAGATCAATGAGATTTGAGTGCCTCACTCCCTTGGAAGCTTTTGAAAACCACCCCCTAAAGCAATAGGCAAGTGCCTAAGACAGCTGGATGGGCGTTAGACATGTTTGAACAAATCCCAAGCAGTCACCCACAAAAATTTCTCTCGCTCATTCGGTGGCCTCTTTGTGGGAACAGTTCTATATTCAGCGTTTGATATTTCGCCTTCTTGTTTGCCATGACACGTACTAATGAAAGGCTGTGCTTAAATTAGCGATGAAATAGGCTGGAGCCAGTCCAGGATATTTTACTTTGACCCTTTTGGGCGTGAGTTCTAACAAATGTTCTTGCTGACAGTCTGCTTCCAGATTCCCCATATTTTAGGATTAGCAGCTCTTCTGAGGAACAGAAGGCTTATTAGTGAGCTCCTTGGAGGAGAACGTGATATTTACTTGGGGCTTATTTTCATTTTGGAGCAGGATTAATCTCTTGCCTACTTCTCTAGGAAATCAGCTCACTTAGTCAAAAGACTTGGAGAAGTTTTTGTTGAAAGCTGGTGTGCCAGATATCGGAGACTTGAGCTCACTTTAAACAGCAGGTTGAACTATGGGATTTAGCTATCGTTGCTGCTGACACTGTGTCAGATGCCCAGAACAGCTTTAGTGATTATAGATTGCATGAACTATGCCACACACAGTTAAAGCAAAAACAATAGGACTTGCCACATCTGATCCTGTCATTGGGTCATCGAGCTCAGCATCCTGCCTCCAGCAGTGGTCAGAACCTGATGCTTCTGAAGAAAAAAGAGAATTAATGATACAGCTGTGGACTGTGGGACGGGGGCATTCTGCCTGACCTTTGCAGGGACCAGCCTGCAGCATGAGATTTGGTTAACTCCATCTTGGCTTTCATAGCTCCAGACGTTAGTCACCGTACAGTTATTCAACCCTTTTAAATAATGTACCCTCAGCAGTTGTTTCCATGAGCCGCTGCTGCTGTAAGTTTCTCCAGCTAACAACCTGCTGGGTGAAGGAGCATTTTCTATTGATTCCAAGTGTACTGGCTACTAATTGCCAAGAGGCCCCAATACCTGCAGACACTTCCAGGCATAGTGCTTCCAAGTCTATGGAAGCATTGGCAGTAGTAAGTGCTAATCATGGGGGGAAGTGTGGGCAGGACTGGGCCCCAAATGCTACATTCTTCTCTTGTTATGGAGAGAGTGAAGTGGAGAGCAGGGACCTATCTGCATCCCCTATATGCTTCAGAGGCTTAAATCCCATTTATCTTACATGAGAATCCCCCTAGACTTCAGTGAGGCTAATTGTATGAATAAGATGAGCAGGTTTTGGCACTGAATCTTAAATACCTCAAAATTCGATCTCACCTGAACAATTTCACCTTTCCTTTCTTTCCCATTCAGATGGCAGCACTGTCTGATAATTGGGCCTCTGCAAAGGATAAAAAACATGAACCAAATCCAGCTCCTGTTGAAGCCGGGGCAAAACTCCTGTTGATCTCTGTAGGAGCAGGATGGGATCTGGGGAAAGAGTTACCATTGCTTAGAAAGTATTTCAATGTCCAGAAATGACACATTTTCACTTGTGACTTCAGATTTCTTTAGTGGCAGTGCACTTTGAAAGCTGCGTGCATAGAAGTCATTCTAAAATAGCGATGAGAAGCATTTCCAAAAATACACTTTCATCATTTATCTACCTGGTATGTGTGAAAGGCAGCCCGGAACACCAAGGCGGGGAATTGACATCTTACAGTAGTTACTGAAAAGAGTGCTGACTTGGAATCTGTAGTTTAGCTGGGTGGGTGGGGGTGGGGGGCGGCACGACGAGTCTGTATCATGATTAGCAAGCACCAGCAGGGAAATGAGAGTCTGAATGGCTGGATTCTATTCTTAGCTGTGACTCACTGAATTGGATTACTTTGAACAAGTCATTTAACCTCTTTGTGCCTCTGTTCACCCATCTGTAAAATGGGAACAATACTACTTACTCATGTTGGTAAAGTGTCTTTGGGATCCTTGTGTGAAAGACACAATAACCAGAAAACATTATTATTATTATACTTTGAAGATTTATTTTTTTCTGCGGGATCTTATAATCCTGGCATGTACCCAAAAATCAAATAACATGGAGTAAAAGTCTCTTCTGCGTGTATTAATTACTACTTGTATTTCAGAACCACCCAAAGGTCCTACTCAAAATCAGCACCTGACTGTCCTGGGAGCTGCACAAACACACAGTCACGGTCCCAGGCCCAGAGAGCTTACAACTTAAGAAATCCTTTCTACTTTCCCTTGGGCCCATTTCAGGACCAGGAAATAACACAATTCTCATGGGAAAGCCTGTTCTCTTGAGAAGTCAAGCTCAGTGTTAGAGACTAAAGAGACCCAGGTATTTTGGATAAACATCCAGACTTCAAGAGGCTCTCTTTCAACTGAACTATAGCTTTGAATATTTTTCCCCGCCACTGGTCAGTTCTCCATTTGGGATTTCAGATTTGTATTCTGATCGCAGCCCCAGTGTGCTAGGTACTCTGTACATACAGAAAGACACAGTCCCTGCCCCAGAGGGCTAACAGTCTGTGGGTGCTTAACAGTGTCCAGGAATGTATATCACAAATGCATCAGCTGTCCCAGGGCACAAGAGCAGGATGTACACTGATGAGTAGCTGCATTTAGCATAGAAGGGGAACAAGATGATAGCCTGAAACGTATCATAGAGAGACCAAGATGGTAAAAGGAGAAAAAAGCATGACTGTAGCAAAGAAATTGTTACACATTGTGAGTGAAATTTATCCCTATGCAGGGAGCCAGCACAAGGGCTACGTACCACATAAGCCCTATTTTTAGGTCTTAAATGGTTTATAGGCTTTGTGCTGGTCCTCTGCATGGGGGTGAAACTTGCCCTGTACAGCCGTTCTGATTCAGGAATGCATGATATTAGACCAATCCAATCATTGCAGAAACACCCCTTACCACCAGCGTCTGTGTCCCTGCAGCAATAACAGAGAGACATTTTGGTCAGGCCCATCTCTCTTTTCTTCATTAACTTTCTTATTGAGTTTCTCTTCAAAAATTCAAGCCAGCAAAATCTGCTAGAGGCATATTAAGGATTCACCATGCAAAACTGATAAGCTGGTGCCTCATTATTATCCTGCATAGTGATTATCTTTCCTTGATGGTGTCTCATATTTGCCCAGTTTCAGATTAAAACCGTTCCCCTTTCACTCTGAGATTACTTCATTTCTTAACTCCTGGTTACAATGCAAAACATCAGGAACGCGCTCAGCCTCTGCTGGGTCTGATTGATATCATTAAGAATCATTTACTTGCAATTAAAATGAGCCTTAAGGGCTTTTGCCAACAAGCTAGATTAGCTAACAGTGAAACGTTTGCTTTTTGTAAACAACAACTTCAGGATACTAAAGCAGCCGAAAAGAGAGCAAACCATTTGCCTTTCTACTGAGCATCATCATAGGTCCCAGAAACAAATGCCAGAGCAGTCAGACCCAGTCCAGGTGAAGAGGGCCATGCTGGCATCTCGCTGGAAACACATGGCCCACACCAGGCCTGGAAACATGCACGTGTTTAACATTAACATCCCTGGGATTACTCATATGCATAAAGCGACACATGTGCTTAAGTCTGCACAGGACTGAGGCCTCCATTTGCAACACTGCCATAGCTTTTGGCCACCCTTATCTATAATATTACAGGCCATCGACAGAACCTTGTGCACTGCACCATCCTGATCTGAGGGGCATTCCTGCTGGGAGCCATCCTCTCTGCAGATCCACACGCCACACTGTGGAACAGCATGGGCCATGTTTGCTCTCACTTAAATAGCAATTTTGATTGTTAATAATAATTAATAACTCTTCACATGTACGAGGGGAAGGATGGTCTTGCAGCTAAAGCATGAGCTGTGATCTTCGACAAGCCCCTTCTCCACCCCGTGCCTCAGTTTCGCAAACTGTAAATGGATTAATTATGACTATCATCTTCATAAGGGAGTGTGAGGGGAATTGATTAATATTTGCAAAGCACTTTGAAACACTCCAGTGGAAGGGACCATAAAAAAGCAAAGAAGCCTTGTTCTAAAGGGCTATACCTTTCCTCAAAGCAAGGGAGACAGGGAGGGATGAAGAGTTCCAATATGTGTCTGAGAAGTGCGGCCCTTCTGAGTGAAGGTTCAGATGCATTTACATCAGGGGATATTTAAGGTAGTGGTCATGGAGCCGAGAGATTCTTAATATTTTCCACATCCTGCTATTCAGCTCTGCCCTTCAACTCCGCTTTGAGAAGCTGCACAGAAGTGACATTGGGGAATTTTGCAATTTGTTAAACCTATTTTGGTGCTCTTGCCTGTGATTTAAAATAACCAGACATGTAGCTCTTTTCCCTGAGATAGCTCGTGAGCATGTGTCAACCATGCACTGACAGATAGGTTCAGACATATCGCTCGCCATTCCCCTGAATATGCTTGCAGTACAACTGATGATCATCTCCAAGGAGGCCTCTTTCAGCTCCACTCAGAATATATGAGTGTTCATTGAAGCGTAGGGAGCTTTTCCCCCTTCAGTCACATCTGGGGATCCCGGGTGTGAATGGCGCTGTCCACATACCAGCCTAACATTACTTTACTGGGAATAGCAGGGACGAGTGGGTTAGTTTCTCAGATGGCAAAGTCACAGCATCATGTGTTAATTTTGTACTATATTATAGTTATCTCAAGGCTACCCTTGTTATCCCCTGGGTTAGACAGAGACAACAGCAGTGAGCTATGCCTTCCACATAGGCTCCAACTCTGCTCCAGCCCTGGAGCACCCATGGGGAAAAATTGGTGGGTACTCTGCGCCCCCCGACAGCTCCCCGCCCCCCCACCCCAGCTCACCTCCGCCTCCTCTCCTGAGTGCGCCACATGCCCGTTTTTCCCAGTAGCTCCCAGCGCTTTCGCCACAAAACAGCTGTTTCACGCGGCAAGTGCTGGGAGGGAGAGGGGAGGAGGGGGAACGCAGCGCACTCAGGGGAGGAGGCAGGGCCGGGGCGGGGATTTGGGGAAGGGGTTGGAATGGGGAAAGGGTGGAGGCAGGTGGGGCACAAGCACCCACCGGTGCCGGGGAAAGGTGGTGCCTATGGCCTTCCACCTTCAGTATGATGGAAGATTGCATCCTCTCCTCCTCCATGAGCGCCCAGACATCCAACCTTCCATGATTTCAGGTTAGATTCCTGCAACTCACTCACTCTGGGGAGGAGGGTGGAGGCCAGATGGTGAAACTCTAACTCATGCACCATGTAGCAGCCACTCTAGTGAGCAAGAAGGGCAGTAAAGAACACTCAACACTGATGCTTTGCACAGATCCCTTGGCTCCCCACTCACGTCTAGCACCAGTCTGTATTGAAAAAGCTCTCAAAGATGTAGGGCCTGGCCAGTGGAGAGACTCCCCTTCCACTTCATCCTCACCAGATCAGGCATTCCACTGGTGCACTGAGGCTGGCAGCACCCAGCGGATGAGTGTAGCACATTCTCTGCTCTACCTGGCTGTGGAGTTCTGGGCACAGCGGATCAGAATAAGCCCAAGCCTGGCAATTTTCAGAGCACAATGCCTTCTCCCCAGCAAAGAACCAGCTGGATAACAAGAAGGAGAGAAGAGGAGAAGAAGGAACAAATAGCAGAGGAGCAGAGTGTCAAGAACAATTTCAGTGTGACCCATAACTTCTGTATTTCATATTCAGATACCACAGAGATATTGATACTGGCTAAGAAGATAACAGACATTTCAAGCAGCTAATGCAGAGCATGTAAACTAGGGATAGATGAAACAGCTTGGATAAAAGAAGAATCTGCTGACTCAGAGCTTTTCCCCAATCCAGAAGGAAGCTGAACCCTCTTAGCAGACAGTTCCCACCAGCAACATTACCCAGCAGGTCTTTCTGGGGTCAGGCAGCTGGACATCTCTGGTAGCAGATTTCCTCTCCAGGGGGATGGCACTGGACAGGTCTCCTCTTCACTGGACTGCTGTTTCTCCCCTTCTCTCCCCTTGGGGGTGTGAGTTTTAACAGACCTATTGCCCTTGAACTTAGAGTTCAACCTGAACTAAACCTAGATCTGCATCTACTGGAAGATTGGGGAAGTCTGTACCTGGACCCAGATGGAAACTTTGCAGCTCGGGTCCATTGTTTGAATGTCACCTAGCAGTTTATTATTGATGGTTAATATAACTATGAGACTAATGTAATTCTTAAAGTGCCCTCACTATACAGCTGCTCAGAGTCTTGTGTAATACAATACAATACAACACAAACACTCCAACACACACAACGTACCATTTAAAACCCCTTCTTAAAACATTAATTGCAAAATATAGCAGATTTAGAATGTAAATAGCTAAAATCCCAGTATCAATAGACAGTGCAGTTAGCATTTCAAAGAGCTAATAAACAGTAATAAAATCGGATTAAGTCAGGGGTTCTTACACTGGGGGTCGGGACCCCTCGGGGGTCACAAGGTTATTATATAGGGG